CTGCAGTGGCCACCGCTTTTGCCTGTAGGATAGTGCCGAAGCTGTTGGAGTTCTTAGCTGCAAATCACAAGCTTCGGCAGAGCCTGGAGCATGATATCACCTACATCAGAAATGAGTTTGCATTGATCTCAGCCGCCATTCAGCAAGACGAAGAACGTCGCTGGAGAAGCAGCGGAGGCAGCGAGCATGTGCAGAGGGCCTGGATCAAAATTATACGTGACCTGGCGCATGCTGTCGAGGACTGCATCGACCGCTTCATGCACCGGGTGACCATCTCCAGGACGTCAACGTGGATCCGTCAGGCTGTTCACCGGTTGCAGACGGTGACAGTCCGTAAGGAGTTTGCCAAGGTGATCCGCGAGCTCAAGAAAATATCACAAGAGTCATCCAAGCTGAGAGAAACTTACTACAACGCCAGCACCAGTGCCGACACCTCCTTGCCAGCTTCATCATTGGCAATGGCATGGGCACCTGAGATGACAACAGAAATGGCCATAGACGACACCACTTCAGCTCACAGCCCCGTGGGCATGGATGCTCCCCAAGATGAGATTCTGGAGTTGATACAACAGCAGCAGCAGCTCAAGGTGATCTCCATTGTTGGCTTCGATGGCATAGGCAAGACTCTCCTTGCCAGGCATGTGTACAAGAGTATGATGAGCCAATATGAACTACGGGCTTGGGTTTGTGCAGCCGAGCAAAGGGGCGCAAGCGATGTTCTTGAGGTGATACTCCGACAACTTGGCATTCCCACCACATTCACTAGTGGTGGAGGTAGCCTCAGCAAGCTCTGCACAATCCTCAGATTGTGCCTTCGAACCAAGAGGTAATTAATTCCAACCGCTCAACTCTGTCTCTGTTTGATGATTTGGTCTTGATTTACAGCAGTCTGCCTCTTTTATATTTTTGTACCGTCCAGAAATTCTTCAAGTTTGACTTCACCCACTATTGGCATCTTTGTGGGTATAAAATGAAATCACTCCAAATTTAATCTCCACTTCATATCTCTGCATGTTAATTCTGATCATGTACTCCTCATAGGTTCTTCATCGTACTCGATGACATGAGGAC